AGGAAGGAAGGGACATGGTGAAATAAGTCATCCCAGCCAGGCTGCTGTGTTGGCTGAGTTGTGTTTTGTTTTACTCTGTGGTGAACAGGGAAGGGCCTCAAATCACGGAGTAGCTTGAGAGATTTCCTGTTTTTCCTGTCACTGTTTTTATGGGGATGTCAGCATGTGCGTGCATGCTAAGTCACTTCAGTCGTGTCCGACTCTTTGCGACCCCATGGACTGTAGCCCCACCAGGCTCCTCTGTCCATGGGATTCTCCAGGAGTGGGTTGCCATGCCCTCCTCCAGGGGATCTTCCCGACCCAGGGATGGAACCCCCACCTCTTAATGTCTTCTGCATTGGCGGGCAGGTTCTTTACCGTGGGTGCCACCTGGGAAACCTGAATGTTAGCAATATGCTATTGCTAATTTGACCAGCATTCTTTTCCTCTTGAGCAAGGCACCCAAAGCCCCAGTTTTCCAGCAGGTTCAAAGCCCACCCGTGTCTGCACTCTTGCCAAAGCAGCACTGTGTGATTGCCTGTTAACTTCGTTCTCCTTTAGTAATAGACTTTGTAAAGGAAGGTGATTAACCCAAAAGAGAGTGTGGTGGGGTTTCTGGCTGGGAGGGTTTTCTGATTCCTCTGAAATCACACACCAGATGCCGCCTGCTGCTCCAGGGGTGACTAAGTGAGTCCTGGGCTTAAGGAGAGCCCTCCAGGTGGGGAGGAGATAACAGACCCAGGAGTGCTCGCCTCTCCCCGCCCCCACTCAGCTCTCTTTTGGATTATACCTGAGGCAGGCGGCCCAGGCCCTGAGGGGTCTAAAAGTAGCCACTTGATGGCCTGCCCGCTGAGATCGCCTTCCCTGGATGGCGCCTGGTTTCTTACTGCCGCAGACTGAGACCCGTGCCCCCACTTCCGGTGTTCAACTCTGACCGCTGGGCTGCCCTTTCTCCTCTGTGGCCTGAGAAAGAGGACATGGGAAAAGGAAGGCTGATGTCTTGGAGGAGCTAGAAGCTCTGCAGATTTCACTGGGGTAGGGAGGGGATATTCTGAGGGTAGATTCTGGATCTTAGATATGTGGGAATCTGAGGGTAGAAGAAAGGGTGTGGAAGAAAAGAAGACATCCGTCAGACCTATAGGATCTGGAAAAAGAGGTCACAGCACTGCAGTTAGGGGACCCGTGTCCCAGGCCTGGTGAAGGGGGTGACACCAGCCCACAAGGGTGCCTTCAATCAGTTAAAAGACTTTTGATTTTGATGTTATACCAAGGAACTGACTTTAGATTTGTTAATCTTCCACTGCATGAAATACTTGAATTTTCTCAGTCATCTTTGCTGTTTATTCATTTCTGAGCACCTTTTAACATGGGTGAGAGAAAGGATGTGAACACCCCGCAGCCCCCGCACACGGGCACATCGACTCCTAATAAACCACTGAGACCAAGCTCCCGGTGGGCACGGGCGACCTGCCTTTGGTCGGGTCTCTGAGGCTGAGTTTCCTCCTAGGAAAGTGTGGGAGAAAATACCCGCCTTGCTTTTCATATACAGCTGTTGTGAGGATTCCGTGGGCTAGTAGATTATTCATTTATGTTTTTCTCAACAGATATTTATCAAAAACCTAATCTGTGCCCACCCTCCTCCAAACTTTGGGGGTTCTCAGTGAACCAGATAGACGAGAAACCTAATGTCAAACCATTTACATTCCATAATGCATCCATGGTTTTCAATTGTTTTTATATTAAAAATTAGGTTATTTGTTATAATCTTACCTGGAAATCCAATATGTAAAATAAGTAGAAAGGAAATAAGATCAGGGATTAAAGTTCTGCCTGTTTCTCTCAGCCCCAGCTTCCCCAGGGGACTTTGGGAACACCGTTTGGAGTGCTTTTAGAAATTTCTTCACATTCACTCAGCGTGTGAGAACTCATTGACTCCCGACTTTGCAAATAGTGTATGGGTAGGGCCAGCCAGAGCCCTTATGCTGGTGAGACTAGCATCGGAAGGAGCCTTCACCCTGGGCCTGCATAGTAAAAGGAGGGAGTGATCATTGGTGAGAGCTGCAGCCAGTGGAGAAGCTGCTTGCGTGGCTTCAGCAGAGGGACGCAGCTGCTGCCAGACCAAAGCCGGGCTGGAAGGGGCTCTGATCTCTGCTCCTCCCCTTCCCTTCTTCCCTCCCATTTCCGGCCAGTGTACTCCAGGGGTGGAATCGATCCAGAAGCCGGAGGCAAGGAACCCCTCCTGGTGCAGGCACAGAGCAAGGCGGGGATGGGTGGGGAGTTGACCTATCACCCCTGACAGTGCCCTGCGCTGTGCCAGGCACCCTGCAAGGTGCTGCAGATACAAGATGGGTGAGCCGCAGCCCTGTTCTAGAACACAAGTCAATAGTAACACCAGGAGAGTGTGACGAAGACAAGTGCTGGCTTAGAATCATGTCCAGATGAAAATCAAACAACAGCTCAGGAAGAATCTAGAAGTTGGAATCCTCACACATAGTTCGACTTCTATGCATCAGTAACCTCTGGACCAAAAACCTCATTGATAATTGATGCCTTCTTGTCTGTTTTTCTGACAGGGTCCTGCCAGGGAAAGGCAGACCCTCGATCCTTCGATATTCAGCGACCTGGTCTCCTTGTCAGTAAAGACTGTTTTACCGATAGCATTAAAAGGTGTCGTCAATAACATAGCAGTAAGGAGTAGAGACAGACTCCCACGGCACCCCCATCCATGTGTCACGCCAGCTCAAGATGTTCTGTCATCTCAGAGGAGGCAAAACGGCTGCAACTGTGCAAAATACGATAAACCACAAAACAAAATTGTACATGACATCTGCTACTTAAATAGTGAAACCTGAGCTGCAGCTTTATGGGTTTGGCAAACATGCCATGTGTGTGTATCATTCTGAACACTGAAGATGAAGATAAACTGTGTGTGGACTGGCTCCTGCATTAGATGATTTCTTTCCCATCTCAGTTTGTCTCCATCATGGAGTAGGAGTGGAGATGGGTATGGCAGGACTCCTGTCACCTAAGCACTGGTGACCCCTCTCCTGCAGTGACTGGCCCAAGAAGCCCCAGGGGTTTGCTGGTTCCCTGAGCTCACTGAGGGACCACCTGCTGACCAAGAGTGTACAAGAAATTTCAGCCTAAATATTGTAGCTCAGTCTCAAATTGAAGCTCCGCTGGGATTGTTAGGGAAAATGGAAATAAATTCTCAATCAGAGGGATGAAAAGAATTGGTTTTGGTCAGAAAAGATTTGTTGATGTTTCTAAATGCCAGCAAACACGTGGCCGAAAAAGACTCCGAGATTCCATGATTCTGATGTGATTTTTGGAAGAATTTGAAACTAGTCATTTCGTTAGCTGACCCTGAGTACCAGTTCTTTAACGAAAAGGAAAATGAAAAGGGACACATATTTTGGCAACATTCCTCCTGTGGCTGAGCCAGCCTGAGCCTCTGGGAAGGCTGGGGAGGTTTCAGTGAATTCTGTGGGCTCCCTTTGCAAAGCAAAACATGACAGAGGTGGCGATTGTGAATTCCTTTCTGAGCAGCAATTGAGACCAAAAGAACAGAAAGTTCATTTTGGAACACAGGCTGTTCTAGTTGATTTTGTTCTCGGGGCGCTATTTCCATTCACCCAACTGAGCTTTTTAAATGTGCACAGTAGAGAAGTGATCCAGCTGGGAGGGTGGGGAGAGGAGCCCCAGGAGGTGACAGCAGCGTACACGTTGTTCAGCAGACGCACCAGCGCAGCCAGGGCCATGAGGGGTGTCGGCCGGGTTCTCGGGCTGATGAGGGCTCTGCTCCGCTTCCGTCCTGGCTGCTCCTTGTGAGGAAAGCTGTGGCTCCTCCTCGTCACCAGGGACTTGGCAGGAACAAGGTATTCCATGTTCCTGAGGAAAGAGTTCATGAATCTGAGGTTCCTTAGCAAGTAACGAGAGTTAGCATGCTTAGAGTGTCAGGCTTCTTGATTGTCTTTTCCGTGACTGTGTAAATGGTACATTTTTTTTTTTTCTTTGAAAACTGGAGGTTTAAAGGGCCAGTTGTATTCATGGAAGGCTTTCTTGGTGGCTCAGATGGTAAAGAATCCTCCTGAAATGCAGGAGACCCGGGATCAGTCCCTGGGTCGGGAAGGTCCCCTGGAGAAGGAAATGGCAACCCACTCTGAAATTCTTGCCTCGAGAATCCTATGGACAGAGGAGCCTGGTGGGCTACAGTCCATGGGGTCGCAAAGAGTCAGACACGACTGAGTCTAAGACTTTATTCATGGAAAACTGGCTGGAAGAATGCTGTTGGGGTTAAGTGCCAAAGCACAGCTTCCTCCTCTTTTCCGCCTTTGAATGGAGTTAACCCATTTCGCCACTGAGTGTTGAAAAATAGGCCAGGGAAACTGCAGCTGGGCCTGTCAGAGAGGGAGGCAGGGAGCCCCTGACTCTGGGCAGGACAGGTGGGAAGGGGGTCGGGGTAGGGGGCAGGATGAGGAGGGGGAGAAGCGGGGCTCTAGCATCTTCTGCTCCCAGTTTTCTTCATACAAAAGAGGGAATCCCCTCCTCATCTCCCTGTTTCTCTCCACACACACCCCCACCTTGATCCTGGGTTGGGTGCCCTTCCACCATCTACGCGTGTGTGCCTTAGGCAGGTTACATAACTTTCTGTTAAAGGGAAATCATAATAGTCTTTAGGCATTCTGAGAATTCCTGGAGACAGTCCATCAGAAGCTCTTAGAACCGTGGAGAAAACAGTAGTTTCTTGGCAAATGCTGATAGACATCAGGGCACCTCTTCCTGCTTCCGAGTCCTTCTGATTTCCCCGAGGCCCTTTGGTCACTGACTTGAGGCTGAGGGGGGCCCTGGGTACAAGCGGTTAACTGGGGAAGTGGAGAGGAAGAATTTGTCCATAGACTCCTCACTTCTGGAAGCTGGTGAGAAGGTCAGTGACAACAGCTGACCCAGAGACCATAGTAAGCATTGAGGATTCAGTGATAAGGGGCCCTTGCTTCTTCTTTTTATTTTTTTTTTTCCAGTTTTCCCACTAAGTTTTATTTGGGCAGACCTGAGGACAGAGGGCCTGCACCGACAAGAAGGTGTTGGGCCTCTTGGTGGTGAAGCGTGGCTTGTGCTGGCGACGGAGGACCTGGTGGGGCAGTGGGAACTTGATCTTGGAGTCGTGGAACTGCTTGACCACTGGTCAGGGCACTTGCTGGCTGCGATCTCCTTCACCTTCATGATCTGGATTGAGGGCCCGGGCTCGGTGCCGGGCGCCCATGTCTCAATAGCACTGGGTGACTGCGCCAGCTGTGGTCAGGTCCTGGCACTCCCGGTACATGTTGTGGGTGCCACTGCGGGAGTCATAGCATAGCCAGATGCTGAAGTTCTTCACTTGCAGGGGAGATTTCTCCAACACCTGTCCACGGTAGATGATTTCCCCTGAGGATTTTTTCATCTTCAACTGAGACACAAAATACCAGAATCAGGACTTAGCAACAACATGATTAGGTGCAAAAATTCTCATGCGATAGAGGGGTGGCATGCGGCATTTTGGGGTCAGCAGGCAGCGCCCCACCACCTTATACTCTCGAAGCATCCCTGAGGCCTTCATGGCGCTCTATCCACTATTGCCGCCACTCTTGAAAAGGCCAGTGTGTGCTGTTGATTGGGCCACACAGAGGGAGTACTGAGGCCCACAGATCTGTAGAGGCTGATGATATGTAAGAAAGAAACTATCCTGATGCAGAGAGAAGTACGTATAATGAACAGTAGTAGAAAGTGAGGGACTACCTATAGGTTAGGTGTAACTCCAAAACTCAAGACTTGAGAAGACTCATTTGGGCTTGACCTGAGGCCATAGAGGCTTCCCAGGTGACACTAGTGGTAAAGAGCCCACTTGCCAATGCAGGAGATGTGGGTTCAACCTCGGTGGGGAAAATCCCCTTATGTAGGAAATGGCAACCCATTCCAGTGTTTTTGCCTGGGAAATTCCATGGACCAAGGAGACTGGCGGGCTAGTCTGTGGGACTGCAAAGAGTCAGACACAATGGAGTGACTGAGCACTTGAGGCTGTAGAAATGACTTTATTTCCCCAGTAGAACTGGGAACTAAACACAGTGGAACAGGGAAGAGCAGCAGGCCTTTGTAGGGAGAGTTTTGAGATGGAAAGGGTTAAGGTCAGAGATCAAGCAGAAGCAATCATTGCTGTCATTTTCACCATCAATAGCAAATATTTGCTGAATCTCTGGACAATTTTATCTCATAAGCAACACCCATGGACTTTGAAATCAGACTATTTACATGGAACAACCCTACTTGTATAGTGTGTTTACTGTAATTTTTCATTGAAAACATTTATACTGATTGAGGGGGTTTGCATGATAAATCTGTACTGAAGAGAAATGCATAGGCGAAATAGGATAAAGGTTACAATATTAATATTAAAAATGTTGCACTCCCCCCTCCCCCACACTGAAGCATGAAATATGAAATGCTCCTTTAGCCTCTATGGCAAAGACAGTGCAATGCATTCACCAAGTTGTATGACATTCAGTTCCTGGGCAAACAAGCAAATTACATTCCCAGTGCTCTTGCATCTAGTTGGAACTGTGAGGCTAGTTCTGGTCAGTTGAATATTAGTAGAAGTGATACAGCCATTTATGTTTCCTAGATCTTCTACTCTTCTTTTTCCTTTCCAGGAGGCAGAGCCACAGATGGAAGGAGACTGGATCCTGCCCAATCAATATCAGAATGAGTGGACTAGAAATAAAAGCAGCTGTGGCTTGATGAAATTTTAGGGTTGTTTGTTGTAGAAGCCAGTGTTAATGACCCTGGATAGTACTGCCTCAGAGAGCGAAAATAAGCAACATTGAAATTCTATTATTAGAGTAACCATGGTGTTTCAGAGCAGTAATAAATTTCTTTTGCCTTAAGATTTTGGGATGTTCCTGCTAAAGTGAGAATATAGGAGTATTAATATATTAAGTGACTGAAGTTCATGATATTTGCTGCAGTCAGAGACACATAGAAAGGTGTGGATTTGTTCATTCATTTATTCAGTATTGAACAGGCACCTACTGTGTGCTAGACAATGGCTAGATGCTAGAAGTACTGACAGTTTTTCTGATTGGGAGTTTGTGAAGGGTTTGTTCATTGGGATGGAGATTTTTTTTAGATCTAAATGAGAACCATCCGCTTGCTGGGGTGTTTGCTCCCTAGTTTTTGTTTCTTGGTCACACCCAGCGAGGGCAAGGGAAGAGTTCCAACTATGAGCATCTGGGCCCACTCTTGGCGGTGCAAGTGGAGACAACTCCTTGGCAGAGAGGCCCTGGACTGAGAGTGGGGAGGAGAGGAAATTCTTGTGTATCTAAGCTGGTGGGTAGGAGAGGCCTGTTCACTCATTTATGTTAGTTAAGACCGTCACAATTGGAGCCTGAAGGACTTCTGGGGAGCTCGGGATTCCTTGGAATTAGAATCTGTTAGAAGGTCTTGATGTCTAAAAATGATCATTGGTATTAAAATAAGCAAAAGAAGCAGTGCAGTTTTTTCCCACCTGTAGTTGTATGTCCTTTGGAATTCTTTTAGCCTTCTTAGTGTGATGGACATTCTGAATAATGGGGTGAGGGACTGAAGCAGAATTTTATTTATTTATTTATTATTTTTTCTTTTTTTTCTTCATTTATTTTTATTAGTTGGAGGCTAATTACTTTACATCATTGCAGTGGTTTTTGTCATACATTGAGATGAATTAGCCATGGATTTACATGTATTCCCCATCCCGGTCCCCCCTCCCACCTCCCTCTCCACCCGATCCCTCTGGGTCTTCCCAGTGCACCAGGCCCGAGCACTTGTCTCATGCACCCAACCTGGGCTGGTGATCTGTTTCACCCTAGATAATATACGTGTTTCGATGCTGTTCTCTTGAAACATCCCACCCTCGCCTTCTCCCAGAGTCCACAAGTCTGTTCTATACATCTGAGTCTCTTTTTCTGTTTTGCATATAGGGTTATTGTTACCATCTTTCTAAATTCCATATATATGTGTTAGTATACTGTAATGGTCTTTATCTTTCTGGCTTACTTCACTCTGTATAATGGGCTCTAGTTTCATCCATCTCATTAGAACTGATTCAAATGAATTCTTTTTAATGGCTGAGTAATATTCCATGGTGTATATGTACCACAGCTTCCTCATCCATTCGTCTGCTGATGGGCATCTAGGTTGCTTCCATGTCCTGGCTATTATAAACAGTGCTGTGATGAACATTGGGGTGCATGTGTCTCTTTCAGATCTGGTTTCCTCGGTGTGTATGCCCAGAAGTGGGATTGCTGGGTCATATGGCAGTTCTATTTCCAGCTTTTTAAGAAATCTCCACACTGTTTTCCATAGTGGCTGTACTAATTTGCATTCCCACCAACAGTGTAAGAGGGTTCCCTTTTCTCCACACCCTCTCCAGCATTTATTGCTTGTAGACTTTTGGATAGCAGCCATCCTGACTTGTGTGTAATGGTACCTCATTGTGGTTTTGGTTTGCATTTCTCTGATAATGAGTGATGTTGAGCATCTTTTCATGTGTTTGTTAGCCATCTGTATGTCTTCCTTGGAGAAATGTCTGTTCAGTTCTTTGGCCCATTTTTTGATTGGGTCATTTATTTTTCTGGAGTTGAGCTGGAGGAGTTGCTTGTATATTTTTGAGATTAATCCTTTGTCTGTTGCTTCGTTTGCTATTATTTTCTCCCAATCTGAGGGCTGTCTTTTCACCTTGCTTATAGTTTCCTTTGTTGTGCAAAAGCTTTTAAGTTTCATTAGGTCCCATTTGTTTATTTTTGCTTTTATTTCTAAAATTCTGGGATGTGGGTCATAGAGGATCCTGCTATGATTTATGTCAGAGAGTGTTTTGCCTATGTTCTCCTCTAGGAGTTTTATAGTTTCTGGTCTTATATTTAGATCTTTAATCCATTTTGAGTTTATTTTTGTGTATGGTGTTAGAAAGTGTTCTAGTTTCATTCTTTTATAGGTGGTTGACCAGTTTTCCCAGCACCACTTGTTAAAGAGGTTGTCTTTTTTCCATTGTATATCCTTGCCTCCTTTGTCGAAGATAAGGTGACCATAGGTTTGTGGATTTATCTCTGGGCTTTCTATTCTGTTCCATTGATCTATATTTCTGTCTTTGTGCCAGTACCATACTGTCTTGATGACTGTGGCTTTGTAGTATAGTCTGAAGTCAGGCAGATTGATTCCTCCAGTTCCATTCTTCTTTCTCAGGATTACTTTGGCTATTCGAGGTTTTTTGTATTTCCATACAAATTGTGAAATTATTTGTTCTAGTTCTGTGAAAAATACTGTTGGTAGTTTGATAGGGATTGCATTGAATCTATAGATTGCTTTGGGTAGTATAGCCATTTTGACAATATTGATTCTTCCAATCCATGAACACGGTATATTTCTCCATCTGTTTGTGTCCTCTTTGATTTCTTTCATCAGTGTTTTATAGTTTTCTATGTATAGGTCTTTTGTTTCTTTAGGTAGATATACTCCTAAGTATTTTATTCTTTTTGTTGCAATGGTGAATGGTATTGTTTCCTTAATTTCTCTTTCTGTTTTCTCATTGTTAGTGTATAGGAATGCAAGAGATTTCTGTGTGTTAATTTTATATCCTGCAACTTTACTGTATTCGTTGATTAGCTCTAGTAATTTTCTGGTAGAGTCTTTAGGATTTTCTATGTAGAGGATCATGTCATCTGCAAACAGAGAGAGTTTCACTTCTTCTTTTCCTATCTGGATTCCTTTTATTTCTTTTTCTGCCCTGATTGCTGTGGCCAAAACTTCCAAAACTATGTTGAATAGTAGTGGTGAGAGTGCGCACCCTTGTCTTGTTCCTGATTTCAGGGGAAATGCTTTCAGTTTTTCACCATTGAGGGTGATGCTTGCTGTGGGCTTGTCATATATAGCTTTTATTATGTTGAGGTATGTTCCTTCTATTCCTGCTTTCTGGAGAGTTTTAATCATAAATGTATGTTGAATTTTGTCAAAGGCTTTTTCTGCATCTATTGAGATAATCATATGGTTTTTATCTTTCAATTTGTTAATGTGGTGTATTACATTGATTGATTTGTGGATATTAAAGAATCCTTGCATTCCTGGGATAAAGCCCACTTGGTCATGATGTATGATTTTTTTAATATGTTGTTGGATTCTGTTTGCTAGAATTTTGTTAAGGATTTTTGCATCTATGTTCATCAGTGATATTGGCCTGTAGTTTTCTTTTTTTGTGGCATCTTTGTCTGGTTTTGGAATTAGGGTGATGGTGGCCTCATAGAATGAGTTTGGAAGTTTACCTTCTTCTGCAATTTTCTGGAAGAGCTTGAGTAA